CAGAAATTTGAATTTTAGACATAGAACAATTTAATATTGTTTCTAATTTCGTTTGTAGAAGAATTTGAGTAATGCTTTCTATTTAGATAGAACAGTAATGAAAAACTCTATTGTTAAACACTGGAACTTCGTTTCCCGCCAAAACTGCTGATAGAACAATATAATATTCAACCCACGAAATTTTATGCGGATCAATGTTCCAATGGGTGAGAAGCCTACTGGCACCATTTTACGAAAACTAACTCGTCATTAGTTTACTTAGAGATGGGCGCCCGTGTGGCAAATTCAATACTCATCAATTTAATAAAACAAAATTAACCTAGTCCTATTTCATGAGCTACATGAGCGGCTTGATGGATTTTGACATATGAGATGTCTTTAGATTTCTCAGGACAGCGCGAGTGAGACTGAGTATATACTAAAGTTTTATAAAATTAAGATGGCATAAGTACATCTTAACCCTTTGGAGTCGGATTTATTTTTCTTATACTTGTGATATATCTGTGGTCAGATTTTATGTAAATGTGGATACTATATCAAGAAATGATAATTTTATTAATGTAGGGTACGCCCTTTTTACGCTAAGGGCCGGGACATATTTGTCCCACTAGACATTTTAGGTGGGGCATATAAAACCCAGTAATCTTGAAAACAATTGTATTTCCATTGAAATTATATTGAACAACATGTGAAATATTATTGCAAATGGTAAGGAGTGAAGCAATTTTTGCATAGAGGTTTATTGCACATTTGACACAATGTTTTTGTTCTTACTTCCTTTTGCATCTGTGCGCATCTGCAGCAGCGACGTCTTGTGGGTCCCTCAATAGGTAAATGATCGCCCACATTTTGAAGTTTTCGTTTTTTTGAACTAGGTCTCCCTAAAGATGTTGCTGATTTTCTCTTTACACTTGCCCCACTTCTTCCCAACGCAATCAAATCTTCTGCTATTGTAATTAGGAATGGTAGGAATGAAGTTTTTGTGCGTCTTACATCATCGTAGAGAATATGAGCGTTTCTTGCAGCTATCATAAGGAGTTTGAAAAACACTTTTTTCCACCATTTATTTGATCTTCTGTCGAAGTCGTATAAGCCAGCATATTGATCGGTTAAATCTACTCCTCCCATATGGTCATTGTAGAACTTCAACATTGTCGGACTGGAGAATTCTTTCTTGGTACCATCTTTCATGGTTCGTGTTACTAGAGTAGTTTCATCAGAGAAGCAGTTACTGATCGCCAACACTTCTTTCGTGTCTTGCCATCTGCAAACTATTGTACCATTTTTATTGAACTGAAATTGAGTTTCTCCTCGTTCCAGGTTTCCAGAAAATCTGGGAACATTTTTACGATTTCTCATCAGAGTTCCGACAGCAGGAAACTTGATAGTATCAAGTAAGTGCACAGATGAGAAAAACCTATCAAATGTCAATACGACATTCTGATAATTTGAGAACAACTCTTTCGCCAAGTGTCCCTTCAAAGGCGTTCACTTCTTTACCTGCATAAATATTTAGATCATACACATATCCTGTTTTTGAATCTGAGCGAACCCAAATTTTTATGCCACGTTTTATAGGCTTCAGTGGTAAGTACTGTTTCAAGGAAGACCTCCCTTTGAATTTTGTCATTGACTCGTCAATACTTTGAAAAGTGGAGTCAGAACGATATTTGTTGAATGTGTGTTTGAGGCAGTTGACAACTTCTTCGATATAATATAACTTTCCTGCATCGGTAGGCTTCTCGGGGTTGTTGTAATACATTTTTGATAATAATAATTTGCAGCGATCTCTGGATATAGCCTTCTTTATGGCGGTGTTGCCCAAAGAGTCATTATTGGACCAGTAATTATTGAATCCAGGAACACGATTGTAGCACATTACAAGAGAAACTCCCAATAAAATCATTATTTCATGATAATCTGTTCTGTTCTTTTTCTTGGTAACCTTCTAGAATATTTTCAATCTGGCATTTGTGTATTTAGCAATCTGCATGAGTAGGCTTCTAGGAAAAATCTTCAAGAAAAATTCGACTTGCTTCATTTGTCTCAGCAGGCAAGAAGTAGCTGCTGCTTCGTCAGGTATACAGAATCTTGGAGAAAATTGTTGACTGCTGCTACCCCAAAATACTACTCCATCTGGTGCCACTACGTTTTCAGTTTCGATTGTCTCATTACCTTCTTGACTAATTTCATCATCATTGTTTATAACATCAGCGATAATTTCATAATCTTCGTTATTGTCGCTTTCTGAGGAACAATAATTCTCATCATCTTCGCTATTGTCGCTCTCTGAGGGACAATAATTTTCATCTGATGAGTCTTCACAATGAAATGGGTCATAATCGTCATCACTCAAGCCATCTTCCATAATTCTATCAACTTCTTCTTCAAGTTCTCTTTGTGTCAATATTCTTTTACTCATTGTTGTACAGAACCACCGGGACAAATGTGTCCCGTTTAAAATGCCTGCTGGGACCCAGGTGTCCCACAGTGTAAAGTACTGAGATTCAACAGATTTTATAAGTACACGATCATTGAAAACTAGAGCATTGCTTATTACTAGCCTTAGAGAGCAGATACATTACAGTTAGGGCAATAGTACACTTGCAAATACTTCTGAATATAGTAGAACGCAAAGCACGTGTTGGCTGAACGGACTTCACCGATAAACTGTGAGGTTATGTGACTACTTGTCAACAAACACTTATATAGTGTGTGTTCGGAGACTGGTATATTTATGTATAATGGAAAAACGGGATCTATTTGTACCACTAGGCGCACATAATACATGAATAGGACACGTATGTCCCGATAGACTCCAAAGGGTTAAACAGTTTGATAGATTTTAACATACGCGCCTCTAAACTTTGTTCTATAGTGCGAGTAACGCTGGGTATTAAAATTGTATAACATAAAAATGGTGGACTTTAAGCATCAACTTCGAGATTTCTATTTCACAGGCTACATCACAAACAGCTTGACTTATTTTGACATCTGAAGTGTCCTTCCACAATTCAGATCTAACAAGGTAGTACCTACCTTATATTTGACTTTTTAAGAGGGCGCCCATGAGGGTGTCTCAGCGAGAATGGAAAATTGTTTAATAGAAAAACTATAAGGTATTCAGAAACGGCTTGCGCAACAAGATTTACATAATTATTTGCAAATATACAGGGTGATCTTGATGGAACACCATATGTTATACAATTACATATTTAGAAAGATCTTTCAAAATTAAGAAGGTTGATACTGTAGGATTTTGATCGTGATTTGTTTATTTATTTTATCATTTGTCTGAAGAAATGCCCATCCTTGAAAGGTTTTGAGTAGTTTTCACTGAATTTTCACCCTCATACATTTTTACATTCAAGTTTAATACTGCTTTATTAGAGGTTATCTGATATCACAAAATATAAGTTGTTTTATTAAAGAAACATGTTCGTTGTGCCGCAGAGTCGTGCATATGTCTCCGAACAGTTTAGAAATCTACACCTATAAAATGTCAATCTTGCTCCACAAATCGTTTTCGAATATCCTTTATAGTTTTTATATTAAACGTAATTGAACAGGAAGCATTTCTGGGTTTTCCACCCATTGCAACATTTGATCAGGACTGACATATGAACTATATTATATCACTATACGAATTTTCAGTACAATTGACCGGTGGTTAAATCTCATATCTTTTTGCCTGGTACTTTTGACGATTTAGAAAATTTCAAAAGTGAACATTTAAAAATGTCAGAGTTCGGAAATTGTAAAAACTTCTGGATTTTGAAAACTGAATATGCGGAAATTTTTATTATTGTGGGATTTACGAAAATTGTGAAAACTTGTGATGACAGGTGTCACAGCCAACTGTGAAATGCAAATGGTAAATTTCCATTTGAGTGAACAATGCTTGCATAAACAAATTGGTACATTTTACAATTTGAAGCAGTTATTCATGGCTTTCACGCGAGTGTTCTAAATTCCATTTGATGTCTACAAAATGAACTCGATACATCTGCTAATACATTCGAAAAAGTAAAAAAAAATAGATAGTGCTGACGTAATCACAATCCAGACCCCCTCCATCCCGCATGCCATCAAAAATAAGCAACGCGAAAACCCCCTCCCCAGTCCCCCTTTAGTGTTTTGGTAATACTTTTATGGTCCCAAAGCGACGAATATAAATGTAGGTCTAACTTACTCAACGCTTCGAAATATGCATTTAATGGGGAATAATTTGGAAAGATAGAAGTTTATGATGGTAGTTAGGTCGGCCTTTATGTCTGAGGTTATAGACAAAGATGCTAATTGCTGGTTCACGTCAAAAGTTGTCAAAACGTGATAGAGTATCGCTACCTTTCTATTAAGTCTAACCTTCTCCTATCTACTTTTAATAATTTGGCATCCAACCACACGAGTGCCGCCTAGCGGGAGCAAAATCCGACATCGCTGCCATTCTTGTGGCACAGATTACACTTTTGGTTCATTGTCAACATTTTGCTCTGTTGTGTATGAAACAACAACTTTAAAATGTTATTGCAGAAAGGTTTTTGTTATAATGTTGCCATTTGTATTTTTATACTTTTTTAATAAATCGATTGTATAGTATTGTTTTTTTTTTCTAAGCTCCTGATTTTTATCTATTTCATATGAGTTCTGAAATATTGATTCGGTTCTTGACACTCATTACGATCACTGTATGTATGGTTAACCCTCCTTATGTACTCTTACGAATAGATTTTATCAAGAGATGATGACAAAGGAGTAGATCAGTAAGTGTTATTTATCTGAATAGGGCGTAAAAAAGCCGTTTGTGGCCTGAAGGTAATTAGGGTCCAAGATGAGAAGCACCGCGGCCTCTAACAGGCAAAGGAACAAAAACAATTATTACGCCTAAGATACATACACAATTTCATCTACGATCGGTTAAAGTCAGAAATTTACAATAAATTAAGTCAAATTAAAAATAAATAAATTGGATCTATTACTATTGTTTCATCGGTACTTACATAGGTTAATTGAAACAGCGGCAGCTAAAGTAATTTTTCTACCATGGGATATAAAGTAGTCTTTGGTCTGAAAGTGGGTCTTAACGCCCAGAACACCTATTATAATCATAGGGAACCGTAGACTGCAGTCCTTTCATTTCTTCCAAGTCATACTGTTGAAGTTTTTTTGCTAGATACAAACACAGTGAAGACGTGAAAAGTAAAGTTTATTAACCTAAAATAACGATAATATATGGTAAAATGAATATGAAAGCGTACACACTTCAGAATGTAAACAAACATGATACCCACAAATATAAGCTTGTGCGTGCGGTTGTAGAAATTACAAAAACCTTAATCTACTATGGTTATAATAGATATGGATATGACGTTTTTTTTAATTTCCAGTCCGTTACTAATTTTAGTAAAATAACAGTTACTGAGGTATTCCACTATAAAATAGTCCACACACTTAAAAACAATTCGACCAAGATCGGTTCGCAATATTCGTTATAAAATCGGTAAGGTAATCCATAATGGATAATTTGAAAAAGTATGATAAAAGCATATAAATTCGTTAAAACCACAGCCGGTTAATGTAAGCATTTTGGATAAAAACGTCATCTAACATATAGAATGTTATTAAAATTCGGTATCTATGAAAAGAGAGAAAAGGAATCAAAGTTTTGCTATTATCTTCATGAAACTTTTATTTCTGTAAGTATATAAATATTATAGTCGAGTGCAAATAGTATTGATACACTTCAGTTCATCTTCACAAAGTCCGTTGACAGCATCCGCACAAGTTTCCCCTTCGCCTGGAATGAAAAAATCGGCTACAGCTTCATACTATTTGCTCTCTAAATTGACCTTAAATGCGTGAAAACAAACATGGGGTGGTTATATTTTGTACGTGATCAATTACAAAAGGGCTTAATTACCGATGGGAAGCTATACGGAGATAAAGGGAAGGGAGAGTGACACGATATCTCTAGTGAAAAATATACGCATATCACAGTCGGTCGGATCGAGACTACTTAAATCAAAAACATTCAGCAACATTCAAGGAGGAATATCGGTGGACCTTAATCCACTAATTTTATTTTATTAGGTTTGTTTTAGAGACCGTATACTGAGGAGACTATTGTGTTCCAAAATTGAATCAGTCTCGAGCATGCTAGTGATTATTCTTCCAGGTTAAAAAATATTTATGAAAAAATGTAGGGCATGTATAGCATGTATATGTTACTCATAATATAAATTTAATATAAATTATTTATCCTTCAACATCAATCTTGTTTTTGTATCTCCACGCCATAAAATGCTATTTTTTGATATTTTCCAAAACTGACCTCCTGCATTATAACTGCAATTAAAGGAAAATAACAATAAAGTGTGAATAATAATAATAATAATAAAATACAATTTAAACATTGCAAGTAACTAACCAACTTTTTCGAGTAATTGGCACAGTGGTCATACGTGATTAATCTCACTGCGTCAGACGTGAAAATGGATTTTCAATAGAATGTGGGCTTTTTTGTATGATTTTTATGAGTTTATCGCCTTCCTAAGAACAATGGGATGCTTAATTTTGATTGTTCTATGGCAAACTTGATCCAAGAAAGTTGATATTTGTGGAAATGGTACTGAATGCCAACAAGTTTTTCAACTTAAATATAAATGTTGAAATATCCCTTATTGGATATGCTGTATATGCATGTGACTTATATACATTTTAGCCACCGTCGAAATCCACTAGACACGGAAATCAACTACGCCTACCCCTACACCTCCCTAATACTGCACCTATCAAGATCAAGGCAGTGTTGCTGTCGCTGCGAATTTATAAAACTAGTCATCAACATTTTGATGCTGGACCAACAAAATCCTGGCAATAGCCTGTGTTCAAGGGTTGCGTTGATAGACGTTCCTTGAGGATTGAGTTCCGCTTGAGGGATGATCTCCTTGCATATCAAATAGACAACGACGCTTTCTTGAAAAACGTTCAAGGGAGAATTCAACATTTGCAGTTCGCAGTTGAGGTGACTCCACCTCTCGGGAATACCAGCGAACAACCATCTTAATTTACGATGACACCTTCCTCGTGGCTATTAATGGTTCTAGCGCATTCCTCAGCTCAGTGACACCAGGCACTGCAACCCCCGTCAATAGTTCCGTGTTGATCCCCGCGTGCGTTACATCGCGCTAACAAAAATATAGTTGATTTGGTGTGTTGAATGAATCCGTAATCGACACACTAAAGGGTTTTCCAAATTATCAAAACTACCAAACTTTTGAATAGTTTTATTGCTTTCAAAAATTTTCAAGACTTCAATGAGTTTTAAAATTGACTAAATTTTCAGTGTTCAGGATTTCAAAAGATCCTAAATTGAATAATTTTGAAAAGTAGTTGTGAAAATTTTGAATTTCGTGCAAATTTCAAAATTTTTTCATATTTCAAAAACCTGTGTTTACAACTGTTACAGCCTTTTGTGAAATGTATTTATTAAATCCTAAGTTCAACGTTCTTCATGGAAGCGTTATTGCTTGTTTAAAATTCAAGAAGAGAGAAATCCTCAAATGGCACTCAATAAACAAGGAATGTCTATAAATCTGACCTCAAGTAGTTCAGAACAATCGTGAATGATGGCGTCTTATGCGTTGTACTGTAATGTCTCTTCGCTCGTATAAGCTTACAAATAGCAAACGATGTATCGCCGATCAACATAAATTATGTGCTCATGACATCTTGTCATACTAGCAGTGACAAATATAAATATGGGAGACTCTACGTTGACGAGAAAATTTTCAGGACGATGAGACAGAACTAAAAACGTACGTCTTTGACAGTTGTGGCATGCTGCCCTCTTATGTAAGCTTCCATCCTATGGCCTTCCAGAGAAGCTTTGCAGATGTAAAGAGCTGACTTCATCTCGGGTCGCAAGATATCCGTCGTGGTTGACGGGTTCCCCTGTTCATCTCGCAATGTCAACGCGGCTGTTCCCCGACGGTCAGTCTTGGATCCGACATTGTTCCTCTCACATATCAACAGGGAGGTCAATCCGATCCACAGAATTGTCAAGCCGCTCTCTGCCGGTGAGCAGGAGAGAAAAGACTAGCAGCGACTTCCTCTTTGACAAGAGACGTGGGGGTTATAACTGCTTGAGGACGCAACAGTCTGGTACAGTTTAATGCTTCCAAATCACAGTATTGTACCTTAACTAACAAGAAGCTCACATGTTCTACCAAAAACCGTTCATTTCGGTTGGTCGGAGTCCAGATCACCGAGAATTTAATCTAGCACATATCATTAGTAGTGGCACTTTGTTGGAAAAAGCTAGGCTATTTGTTTAGGGCTAAGAAGTAATTTTCTCCTGATGAGCTCCTCACTCTGTACAAGGCCCAGATACGACCTTGCCTATAAATATAGATCCAGAACTATCATTTCTGTTATCAATCAAATGCAATGAACAGAAAAATCTGGAAGTTCATCTTCTAAGCATCAAAGGTGTACGTTTTTGATTCAGAGAAATAAGAGACTGACGCAGGGCAGGTGTTTAGAATATGCACAATGAGAAACTAGCTCGAAGTTAACTTCTTTGAGAAATAAGTCATAAATAGTAGTAGTCAGTTGATACACACTCAAGTGGATACCTCCTACTTAATTATCCAGTCGTGAGTTTTTGATATAATCCAGGTGAGGAAAACTACGAAGTGAATCTTCAGCATTCACCAACCCTAGACCGTAATGTATTATTCATCTGTCTCTAATCTATACTAAGTGACATATAAATCCGAACACCCAGTTTAAATGGTTTTATTTTAATAAAATTTTGTATAAGTACTTAATGAAGCATAATAAGTAAATGATAAACATTTCAAAATGATTGCACTGCTTTAAAGCCCTTTGACTTTTAATAATGTGTGGATGCACCCTGATGTGCTACGCATTCTCCAACGCGCCTAGGCATGCTTCTGATCAGGTAGTCAATGTCCTCCTGTGGTATCTCATTCCAGGCAACCACCAACTCCTCTCGAAGTGCTTCTAGAGTCTGAGGAGGACGTTGCAAATTGAGCAATCTCCTACCCATCATATCCCACACGTGCTCAATTGGGGATAAGTCGGGAGATCTTGGTGGCCATGGTAACAATGTGACATCATTATGTTGAAAGAAGTCTATTGTGACTCTTGCAACATGTGGTCGGGCATTATCTTGTTGGAAAGTTGGATCTACCAGGGTGTCAAGATAGGGTAAAAGATGGGGTTCTAGAACTTCGTGGATATAACGCTGCGCGTTCATGTTACCTCTGATGAAGATTAAAGGTGACCTGGAACCATAAGCTATAGCACCCCAAACCATAACTCCAACAGTGTGATGAACATGTCTTTCAATAAAAAACTGTGGATTCCTCCTTTCACCACGTCGCCTTCTAACCCTGGCACGACCATCGTGCATGCCTAAACAAAATCGAGACTCGTCACTAAAGACAATACTGTTTCCTGATCCCAGAGTGACCGTTGTCTGCACCACTCAAGGCGATTACGTCGGTGCTCTCGAGTTAAAGGGAGGACCCAGTGTGGCCGGTATGAAAACAAGCCAAAACTTCTCATTCGTCGGTAAACACTTCGCATGCCAATAGGTCTTCCGTGTTCTGCAAACCATTCATTTGCAATGGACCTGGTAGTGGAGAAACGGTCCCTTAAGGCCAATAATCTTAGGCGGCGATCTTCACGGTCTGTTGTTCTACGGCGGCGTCCAGTGCCCCTTGCTCTTTGCGTACGGCCTTCTCGAAGCCATGCCTGACAACACCTAACCACAGTGTCTACACTTCTTTGCACTCTAACTGCAATTTCCCGAAAAGAAAGTCCAGCTTCTCGAAGTCCCACTATACGGCCCCTAACAAACTCACTAAGTTGGCGAAATCGTACAGGTCTCCGTACCGTTAGTGAATTAAAAAAAAGCAGTATAAAAACCAACTGATAAGGCTGAAAATTTTTTCACTTGTTATTTACAGTAAGATAAATACATTCACCAACTTTTATTAAAATAAATCCATTTAAACTGGGTGTTCAGATTAATATGTCACTTAGTATAGCTTGTATCAGGGTTGGATATACGGCGCTGTTCTTAAAGATTCGCTCATATTTGGTATTAATACAAGCTACATAAATCGGGTCTTCATATTTATTAATGATTGCTCTCTATATTTTGAGGAACTCTTCTAAATTTTCGACATGAAGCTTCTGTATTTGGTTTTTGAATAGCTTATAGTTTTCATGTATCCTTTTGCGATTCCACTATCCAACGTGTTGCAGTGCGGTCTATGAAAATTCACATACATCAGCCCGAGCAAATGTTCTGAACAAGATCAGAAGGAACGATGGAGATATGTCAGCTAGGCCTAGGAATAAAAAGAAAGACAAGTAGTCTTGTGGAAACTTATATGAAACACAAAGGATAATCGTGAACAGGTTCGCAATCACGGAATAGAAGCACATTTCAGCTTATCAGGCACAAATACGTAGATGTGGATCGAAAACACCGAAGAGAAAACATATGACCATCACATCGTGATATATATCTAAAGGAAAACAAGGATGGAAATGGAAATACAACTAGAAGCCACCAACAAGAACCAGCAGGCACACTTGTGGATTAGGTCCGAAGACCTCGTGTTTACGAGGTATCATCCAACATCGCCACGGAAGAAAAATATAGCTACCTGCCGTGGTACTTGAAGCCAAAAATAAACGTGTATCGCGATTGTCCTTTTTTTGATCCAAGTCTCCGCAAGACTACTTGCCTTTCTTCTTGTTGAGGGCTTCCAGCTGTATTTCCTTTTCCATTCTGGTTTTCCTTCAAGTTATTCCCGTATCCAGATTTGATGGACATATGTTTTCACTTTTCGATCACATCCATTTGGGCTTGATGAAGTCATTCAGCAGGAAACGTACGACGCTCGGGTAACCAATCCTTCTATTTCTGCTCCTGTTTCTGTATTGCACATATAATAAATACTAGAGCTAGGACACCGGGATGCTGTGGACACGCAGCCCCTATACTATACCTCTGGGATACGCTCCTCATCATTGGAACGTCGCCATATCCACTAGGATTACTTCTGGATTATATCGAAAAGCTGGATAGTTAAGTGGTAAACATATGCTCAAGTGTGTCTGAACTATCTACATACTGTTTTTTGACAAACAAGCATGACTTACCTCTAACAGAGGTTAACACCGAGCTAGCATCACTTGCTGGCATGCATATAAACTCTAGACACGTACCCTACATCAATTTCTCATTTCTCTACGGCAAAATTGTTCGCCTTTAACGCTTGATAAGTCTTGAAGATGAACCCTTCGATCTGCTCTTTAAAAGCAGGATTTGAATTGGTAAAGTATTCATCGAATTCGCTAGACCTGGCTCTCGGAGATTTCATGCTATTTCCAAATTTCAACAGGTTCCGAACAGGAGTAGTTTTCAGCAGTTAAACAAATTTTTGCCGGAAGGCTATTGAATGCTGGAGCACCAATTGAACAAGTGTAGGAATTAAGTAGCAAAGTAAAAAATATAAATTAGATGGTCAGAGACGAAGCATACAGATCAACCCTCATATTGTATACATTAAAGATCATATGAGACATGCCAGGTTGTTTTTTGAAAATCCAGATAACGCTGTTACTTATTTAACTGGACGAAAATTCAATGCGGGAAATTATGTATATTAGACGTAAAAGCCCAGAATCAATAATATGACATTGAAAACCGAAGGCTGTGTGAAATACCGAATAAATAAGTTGGTACCTTGCACGAAATGAAGACTGTGCAATGCACGTCCGGTTCATCCATGGATGCCCACAGGATTTTTTCTCAGAGCATGCCGATCGTTGAAAACATATAATTTTATGAAAGTATACCTTCCGCCAACACTTTTTGGAGAGTGGGGGTATCAAATTTTCTCAAGGGCGACAAATTCTAAAAATCATAAAAATAGTACACAAAATCGGGCTGAATATGCAAATTGTTAGGATTAATCAGTGGGAGGGAGCCCATCCCCGGCGTGCTTCCATGGATACATCTGAAAATATATACCAGACAACAAATATTAATTTTTCTGGTTATTGGTAATCTTAAATAAACCCTAAAGCAAATATTTGAACATATTATTGCAGAATGATTATTGATATTTACATTAGATTAGTCTTGTATCAATATAAATTAAAATTTAGATCTTTATAGGGTAGGGTTCTGTAGAACGCTAGAAAAATGAAGATTTTTTTTATTTTTTTGTAGCCCTTTATTTGTCTGCTCTTTCGCATTATGTAGAAAAAGAAGATGTCCAGCTACGGTCTGCGATAATATAAAAGTGAAATGTCGTGCAGTAGAATGCAGTGAAGGATTCATCGAAAAAAGGCACCCGAGTTGTGCAGATGTTGTCCATTTTGTTATAAACTAGTCGGTGAGTACCGTAAACCTCAGTCCTAGTGCGCTGAGATTTCGTAAATGCACAAAATCTCATTCGCAACATGTCTTTCTATTCCACTATTCTTTCGAAAGCGCGAAGCGGTTTTACCGTGAGACACACCGTATATGTGACTCCCAGCTGTGCTGATAATATTGCCAGCACTAAGTATTTAAACATGCTGTTCAGTGGCAACAACCATATCTACTGTAGACACAGTTCAACATCAATATAAAAAACAAAGGTCTCAATTTTAAAAAGTTTCATAAAAAATGAAATCCGCAATATTATTACTAGCACTGTTTGCTCTTTATAATATCGCAACATGTGAACGTAGAAGATGTTCAGAAACATACTGCCAAATTATTAAAGTGAGTTGTCTTCAAGTGGAATGCAACGATGGTTTGCTTAAACGTACTAAGCCTGAGCTGTGCAGGTGTTGTCCTAACTGCTACAAACCAGTCTGTAAGTATCAAATAATAATTTATGGAGATCTTTGTAATGTACAGTCCACCATGATGGAACGTAAACCCTCACATTCGGATTCAAAATTTACCAGTCTGGAGTTGGCATGGCAAACTAATTTGGCTTTGTCTCTGAGAGTACAGTAAAAATAATTCAAGAGATTAATACCTACGCGATGACAAATATCGTCCATCATAAAACATCTGTTATGGATATCAAAGATGCATCACTTACAACCCACGATTTAAAACGTTAACTTAAGAATGTATGCTGAAAGGGAGCGGTTTTTTTATCTAGTGTTCGTAGCTTCTCCACCACTGAATTCTTTTTCAAAACCTACAAAGCTTTTTTGTCCTTGGCATCCTCAGCAAAATTTTATCAATATCGCATGGAGGAAATGAGGCACATGTTTTTTCGTGACGTAGATGTCATGTAGCATCCAATAACATACGATTGAAGCGCGAGATAGCGATTTAAGGCTAATCTTCGCAGCACGTTCTGTTAATCAGTTATTAAAACCGAAATATTCCAAGACAACTAGCTGTCCAATTTAATTAATTTATAATTACTTTTTTGTAGCTAAAGGAGGCAACTGCTCTGACCCCTGGGAAACAGCTTGTGAAGAGGGCGCATCATGTTACCGTGGAGTCTGCGAGTAATAGGGCACTTCTCGTACAATAATTGAACTTGCTTTGTATGCATTTTTGGAAGGGACAAATATATGCTTTGACATTTATCTGCTTAATCTTTTGTAACACCGACATTTCAACTCCGACTGACGCTTGCTGCTGAACGGAAAAACGGTTCTGAATTCCGGCTACCTCGCTAGCCCAGTGACCTTTCTCAAAGTAAAAATAGATGTTATCACAGAACCTTCTTTATCACCAAAATATCACTGAATCAAGAAAATCGACTAAGAATCATTTATGTATATAAATGGACCCTTTGCTTAGTTACTTACCCAATTTGCAGCTAGGACAACATTTACACAATTCTGGCACTTGAGGTATGACAGGACCATTCTCACAAGTGATTGCACGACACTTGAACCTTTTGTTATCGCAATAGTTAGATTCGCATTTTTTTGAACACTTACAAAAGTGTGCAAACGTTACTACTACCAACAAGACCACCGCGACCTTCATTTTAGGAATAGCAGTCGATATCTTGTTATTTTGTGACTATCTTTAATATGCGTGCGTATGTGGTATTTCCATTTTTAAATAATTATCTTTGGTATATCCCCGACTAAATACTTTAAATAACAATGCATAGCGATAGTAATGCTTGAGTAACCAACCTATTTTTAGTCGAGGTCTGTAGGAAATTGAATTCGTATAACATTACACCTAGTTATATCCCCGGATTGCACTATACAGTTTATGAAAGCTTATGATTACTTCAGGGAGATATGTCACATTGAGTATACTCCTTGACTTTCTTACTTAATTCAAGAGTATGCAAAGTGAGGTTTGGCGAAGATCTTGGGGCCTGGTGACCGGCCTAGGCACTGAGAGCAATCGACCGCTGAGGTGCCTCTATTTTCAGTCAAGGTGGACGTTGATTAGTGGAACATCTGAAAGCTATCCTGTGGGTCTCATACTGATAGAACTCTATGTTTTTCTGGACAAATGAAACCGCATATTCTCTTCTACTTACGTTTTGATCACCCGCACGCGTATCATGTAAAAAACCTATAAAACGTCAAAAAAAACCTATAAGATGTCAACTTGCAGACTAGGTAGTTTTTAGGGCGCAAACAGTCATTCCACGTTTGCTCACTAGGATAGTTATGAACGTCCATCTATGGAGGAATCACTCAACTAAACTACTGCATTATTGGATGCATAGTTTTTTGAGGCTGAGAAGAAAGTTGGTTGAATAGCAAGATCGCATCTGGATTATTATGTGTATTGGTCTGCATGTGTATAAAATCAGTGATATTTGCTGTGTGGGAAAATCATTACTGAATATGACGGGTTATTTATATGTTGTGCTTTCTGAAGAAAAGTTATGTTCAAAGTTATAAATTACGAAAAACTGAGGAGAATTACGGGAAATCATCACCGAGCCCGCGTTGTGTGTAATTACTGTTAGCATGTATATAGCTTGTAATTCGACAGCGTACAGTGAATATAATTATTTCTCATCTCTCTCATTTTTGAAATTCAGCAAATTTGTATATGTAATTTCCAGAATGGATAAGAAAAAGTGGATGCGCAACTAATTACTAGCTTTGAATCTCAATTAAGTGTATCTGAGACAAGAACCCAATGTAATTATCATCACACTTAGTTACAGCTTAGACCTCCAGTAATGCCATCTCAGAAGCAGATTTTATATCACATCAGAACCAAAGATTGATAACAAGCCTCGTGACATTTAGGCAACACATAAAACTAAGTGCAACGTTAACATCTTGTAGAACAACCTACATAATGTCAAAAAAAACAGCATAATGTCACTTTTCAAGATACGTGATACCCGTTGCGCATCCAGTTTTTCTTATCCATTCTGAAAATTACATATACAAATTTGCTGAATTTCAAAAATGAGAGAGATAAGAAATAGTTATCATTACTGTACACTGTCGAATTACAAGCCATATACATACATGCTAACAGTAATTACACACAACGCGGGCGCGGTGATGATTTCCCGTAATTCTCCTCAGTTTTTCGTAATTTATAACTTTGAACATAACCTCTCTTCAGAAAGCACAACATATAAATAACCCATCATATTCGGCATATTCAGTAATGATTTTCTCACACAGCAAATATCACTGATTTTATACACATGCAGACCAATACACATAATCATCCAGATGCGATCTTGCTATTCAACCAACTTTCATCTCAGAGATAAAAACTACAGACCCGGATCACACAGCCTCACAAAACTATGCAACCAATAATGCGTAGTTTAGTTGAGCGATTCCTCCATAGATGGACGTTCACAACGATCCTAGTGAGCAAACGTGGAATGACTGTTTGCGCCCTAAAAACTATCTAGTCTGCAAGTTGACATGTTATAAGATGTTTACATGATACCCGTGCCCAGGTCGTACAAATCAACATGACAATGATATTTTATACTAATCTGTCTTCCAGGGATGAGGTCGTTTGTTCTTTTTTGCAATTATGCAGTGTGTTACAACAACCGTCTGAACAATCCTGTACCACGATGATATCACGCGAACTATAGATACAGAAGCAGATAAGTACTTTGCGAATCACTGGTGAGATTATTACTTAAACAGGGTGTTTTCAAGGTTGAGTCATTCATTTTAACAGCATGTAGAACTTGTCAAAAGAAGTTGATATACCAAAAAGTACCTATATATATATATACTAAGTGACATATAAATCCGAACACCCAGTTTAAATGGTTTTATTTTAATAAAAGTTGGTGAATGTATTTATCTTACTGTAAATAACAAGTGAAAAAATTTTCAGCCTTATCAGTTGGACATTCCGATTTTTATACTGCTTTTTTTAAATTCACTAACGCTCTAAAAAGGAATATTTCTGCCGCTGTAAAGAATCAACGTTGGCGGATTTTGGTTCTTGACATCCTTTACGATCGGTTACGATGCCTAGAGTACGGAGACCTGTACGATTTCGTCAACTTAGTGAGTTTGATAGGGGCCGTATAGTGGGAGTTCGGGAGGCTGGACTTTCTTTAGCTTATGGTCCCAGGTGACCTTTAATCTTCATCAGAGGTAACATGAACGCGCAGCGTTATATCCACGAAGTTCTAGAACCCCATCTTTTACCCTATCTTGACACCCTGGCAGATCCAACTTTCCAACAAGATAATGCTCGACCACATGTTGCAAGAGTCACAATAGACTTCTTTCAACATAATGATGTCACATTGTTACCATGGCCACCAAGATCTCCCGACTCATCCCCAATTGAGCACGTGTGGGATATGATGGGTAGGAGATTGCTCAATTTGCAACGTCCTCCTCAGACTCTAGAAGCACTTCGAGAGGAGTTGGTGGTTGCCTGGAATGAGATACCACAGGAGGACATTGACCACCTGATCAGAAGCATGCCTAGGCGCGTTGGAGAATGCGTAGCACATCAGGGCGCATCCACAGATTATTAAAGGTCAACGGGCTTTAAAGCAGTGCAATCATTTTGAAATTTTTATCATTTACTTATTATGCTTCATTAAGTACTTATACAAAATTTTATTAAAATAAAACAATTTAAACTGGGTGTTCGGATTTATATGTCACTTAGTATATAAGTTGCAGAATAAGAGATTTAGTTTACAATATTATAAATTATTAATAAAAAAATTATTATGAAGTTAAATGGATACCGTTTTTAAAAAAAATGTTGTTGTTCGATTGACGCAAAATCTTGCTCGGCGAATCCACAATTGTTTACAAGTTTCGAAAATAAAATCCTGCTGTGCACGGATTAAATCACAAGCATTTTCAGTGCGCTGTTGAAGTTATTCCAGTGTATTTTCTGGTGCATCATGATACACTCACTCTCCGAAATAGCCCCACAGAAAGAAATCGCAAGGCGTTAAATCCGGGGAAAGATCAGGCCAGGAAATGGGTCCATTGCGCCCTATCCATCTATTCGGAAACTCATCATTTAGATGTTCATGAACTTTTCGTCTAAAATGTGGTGGAGCCCCATCGTGGAACCACATATTTTGTCTCACATTTAGGGCAACATCTAATAATTGTGGCAGATTGTACTATTCGTCATTTGTTTGCCTGGGCGGTCCGTATGACCTTTGCCCATTAGTCACTGTCTAATGTACGCTAGTCGAATCTGTCAGTCATGGTTGCCCAGAAACCAGAAAATGTCAAGGGAAAAAAATGTGTTTAGTTCAAGAGGAAACACGCTTTTTGAATTGGTACATTTTGAGGAGCACTAAGCAAATTTTGATTCGGTTTTGTTAGAGTGTATTTTACGAATGTGCTCCACTGTGTAGTCCACGGAGTCACGCAACAGAGGGTTGCTGTGCTGTGGTAGATTGTGTCGAAGAAAATCCAAATAAATTTCACCGGTCAGTCGAGGTGGAAAAAACTAGGGTGCAATAAGCATGCCATTTACCATGCCAGCCCAAACATTTGAAGAAAATCTATACTGAAAATGAGTTCTTTTTTCAGCATGCGGATTTTATACTGCCTAAACATGATTGTTGCGGAAAATGTGCCTTCCATTTCGTGTACATGTGATCTCGACTGTACACAAAATTAATTTCGTAAAATCTTCATTTCTGCTGAAGCCACTGCTAAAACGCAACTCTTCTAGGATGATCTTCAGGTTGTAACGCTTGTACCCGTTGATAATGACAATATCTTCTTGTCGTATTGTCTTCCACACTTTACTTTGAGAAACTTCAACTTGAGCTGCTATGGCTCTAGTACTCATTGTTGGGTCGTCTTCGATCATTTTTAAAATGTCTTCCTCAATTTGTAACATTTCAGAATGAGCAGATCTTCCAGCGTGACCTCCATGTTGTTCTTTTGAATATTTTGTGTATAATAAATTAAATTTACAAACATCCCTGGGCCCGGATGATTTCTGAAAGGAAACCTTTCCGTATACAACCTGCATGTTGCGGCTGCATTTTGTTGGCACTCTCCGTATGTTAGTATTATGTCCACTATTTCATTGTTTTCATAAACTTAGGCCATTTT